TCTTTATGGTGACTTGACCCTGGTTCCTCATTAAGGAGTCACTTCTGCATCATGCTCATGTCCATTAATGCCCAAAGTGTCCAAGCATTCCATGGTCACTTATCTCCCCTCACTTAACCCCAAAAGTCAGTCCCCATAACTGACAACTTGGTATTGGCCCTGGACATTGACCTTAGCCAGTGTGGAGAGCCTGGACTCTTGATTACTAGGGAGCTGGGTATTTCCAGGTGAGATAATAACCACCGGGTGCACCACCGGGTGGCACTCCATACTCCACCCCCCACCTCATCCTCAAATGCTGACCATTTGTACGGATGACTTTATCGGTTTATGAGAACCATAAAGCGCCGTTGGCTACTATATATGTACTATATACTGGCCTACCCACTCTGTATCTCCACTTGGTTCTCCCCCATTGTTTATGCACCTCATTATAGGTGTCTTGCCTGTCGTCGGTCCCCATGTCGCACAGGGGTTCAATAAATTCGAATGAAAAATCACATCCGAGCGAAAAGAAATGAAAACGCTGGGAAATAGTTCCGCAACGAAACGGTATACTGAGAAAAAAAATCATTTCTCTGAAAAAAAATTTATTTTGCACAAGTGGATTTCCAGATTTTTGCCAATTACATTAAATTATTTGGTTTCTTCTAGAATATAAATATTCTTGATCGAAATAAACTTATTAATGCCAAATGGTAAAAATCCTTATTGGAAATGGAAATTTGCTTGTGTATAAATTCCTTTGGAGGAAATATCTCTTTTACTAGTGCAAAACGAGTCAAGTAGAAAAATATGTTTACAAGAGCGTCAATCACAGCTGACAGTGACTGAACTCCTTGGGATTTGATGAAAGTCAATCGCGGATTTTTATCTGCAAGCCATTTGTTATTCATTTTTATCGACTTGACATCAATTTTTTTGCACACCTCAAAAACTAAGTGGACTCAGCTCTCATGATTCCAGCTGGCTAAATTACTGAGTTCAAATCGTTTCTCTCAAAAAGACATTATATCTTCAAGAATTGATTGCAATGATTAACTAATTTTCTAAATCAACATAACTCTGAACACGAACGCCAAATATGCGTATAAATAATTCCCAACGAAATGTTCCATCGAAAATGAGAAAGTTTTACTACTAAAACGATAAAATTGTAGGATGAAAAAGAATGTTCAAGTGAAAAAGTAAGATATGTTTAATTCTCCCCTCGAGGCGGAAAATACCCTTGAGAGATAAGAAAAATTCACGAAAAACTTTGCAAATAAAGGGGGAACATTGAAAACTGATGAACACTTAATTATGAAGGTCGGTGAAATATGAAGGATCCATTTAACTGAGAGTTATAGGAGTGTAGTGGAGGGATAAGTGTGAGATGGTTTGAGTCAAGGAGAGCTGTCAGACAATGCAGCTGTTGATTGCGCCAGAATCTGTGTCTGCTGCCCCACCCATATTTTTCAACTATCTTCACGCTAACAGGAGTCTCTCTGTAGTTTGGTCTAAGTATTGGAAAGGCCACTCAAGAAGTTTGGCGGCTACAAAGCCTGGATCAGTTCGTGGAAATGACACATATTTTGTACTGAATGTCAGGTGGGCTCTTGTTATCGAGATAATGGGCTTCTTCACAAATCTTACGAGCCATTGCCTACTGTCCCACCCACAAATCCACTCTTCACCATTTTTTTTTTTAATTTCCCGTACATAACATTCTCCTCTAAACTTCAAATTGAATTCTGAGATAAATTCCCGAAGCTCTTCGGTATGTTTGTCTCAAAATTCTCTGAACCTGAGGGAGATACCTAAATTTTTATAATAATCTAATTCTCAATCAGCTCTATGGGAATCCCGGAAAAAATATCCCAGGGAAAAAATATCCCACACATTCAAAACGTGTTAAAACTCGCTCAATTTAATTATTTTTTAATTTAATTATTTTTTTCGTTGTCTATTTTTTCAGGGACTCTAATTTTCCTATGGTCTATCAAATTGGGTGGGTTTTAACACGTTTTGGGTGTGTGGGCTATTTTTTCCGGGGATATTTTTTCCGCCTACCGTTCTATGGACGAGATTTTAAAAGAACATTTCGCAGGTCTATTTATTTCAGAATCATTTCAGAATAACTCACTGAGAAATTCGAATTGATAATCGCACGTGGTTCATTGGTAGATAATTTCGGTTTATTTTTACGTATTTACGGGGCAATTATCCCCAGGAGGAATACCGTAACGCATATATCGCAATGCTCTCGATCAACTCGGTGTCATGTATTTTCACGGTCTATTCACAGGTTTGAATACGCGAAGACATGCTAAAGGGATAGACTTCTAACCAGAGTCAACAAATTAACACCGATGCGTTAAACACTCGCGAAACCATATGCCCCCCAGCGACCGGAAGATCGGCCCTTCGAGGGCTGCGGACACCGACGATTTACCGACGTCCGGGTAAGTTCCCCGCGAGGTAAATAAACGTCAACATTTCCAGGAACCTCTACTAAACACTGAGACCCGAGACAATCTACTTTTATTTTGATCGATGAGTGAGGGCCGAAGAACGGAAAAAAATGTTCGAATAAATCACGGAATTTTAACACGTAATATATCCGATTTTTTATATATATTTTTTTCTTCTCTCCGGGGGTACAAGTACAAAAGGAATTTACTCTCATCCGATGATTTAACCGGTGAGAAGCCGTAACGATAACGCCTCCACGTCGGGTCCACCGTTTTCCTCCTACCCCTGGGCACTAGCCGGCCCGACAAAGAAATATTTTTCCTATGGACAATGCTAAAACACATGTCCTCTGAAGAGTTATTCATCTGCTATATCTTTACATGGCTTTACGGTATTAAAAAAATCACTCAATCTTCGGGAAATCACCTTTAAAAAGTTATCGCCAATAACTTCTCCTTTTTCGAGTTTTTTTCTTTCAATTCTGAGAAACGGTTGATCATAAAATTGACGTGAAAAAATATACCGTTTTTAAGCTTTATCGTTATTCAATGTCTTACGAATTTTCATTGCTGTGGAAGAATTTTCCTACGTTCTCTGTAAATTTCTGGAGAAATTCCCAAACTTTACCAGAAATTTAGAAACATAAACACGCAACGACAAAAATGAGTCATTGAATAATAAAACCTAAGAAGCGTATATTATTTACGTGAATCTGATCCACGTTTTCCCAGAAATTAAAACATGACATGAAAAACAAGAAGATATCGGCAATAACTCTTTTATTCAGTGGGGGATTTCTAACAACCTAATGGCACACGAAATTCCTTGCGAATTCATGTCACGTGACTGTTATATGAAATAAATTTGTCGTATAATGAAAAAAATGACGGTAATTTTCACTCCTCGCGAGAGTAATTGCGGGGACACACCGGCGACAGAACGGGTTCCATATTTGGGATTATTTTTGCGATGACAATTAATAACTCGGATTCTTCGCGTCATCGTGAGAAATGGATATTGCGGAAAGATGAGAGTGGCTCAGCTTTATGATCTGCTATCACCGAGAAGGATTTTACGTTTTTTTTTGCGGTATATCGCAGCGGGATAGGCTTGCAATAGAATTGGGGTTCACGGTTTTGAATGTTTTCATGTTGAATTTGTTGATGACGAAAAATTTTCAATTTTGTATCAAACTCATTGATAATAAATGCATTTAACTTCAGGATTTCTTTGGGCAAAGAGATAAAATGAAAGAATAGTATTTCTTTACATTATTTTTCGATATTGATCATCGTGCTGTGCGTTATCATTGGATGATTATAGACGTTTTATCGATATTTCACTTTCACTCCTAACACAAATTTCAATATTCACACTCTACATTGATTGAACATCTAACGCATGTGCCATTGGATGATTATTTCATTACATGCGTTGAGATATTTCAGTGGAGGCCAGAGAGATTGGATTATGCACATCGTTGTTATGAAATCAGGATGGCGCTACGCCGGTCCCCCAATTGCCAAATTTGGACATGAATGAGTACATGTGAAGTCACCAAGAAGGACAAACACCGAGTGCTAAATGCAGTGATGCAAGCAAGCACGAATTTGCAATGAAACTTCTATTAGCGTAATTCCTCTATGGGTGAAAAATTGACGAAAAGCTGGCATCATTGGCACATCTCAATAAATAATTAATTGGGCAAACGCGTCAATCAAACGATCACGACGAATTTCAATTTTAATAAATATTACCTGGTCTATCTAAAAGCATATTAATTTCGATGAAGTTATTCGTATTCATTTTAGAAGAAAATAGCAACAGGAATTTTCTATAAAAAATTGAATGGACTACAAAAAGTCATCTAGCGTTTCCGTTTGAAATTACAGATGGAGAATAGAGATAAGTCGTGTTAATTAAGCGAACTTGCACATTCGAACTATCTCACTTTACCACTTCGCTACTCGATCAATCAACATTTCTCCTGTGACCGAATCTTGAATAATCAAACTTTTTCTTTCATCCATCGGTTAAAAAATTAAGGAGAAACCTCAACGGTCCATGTGACCTCAATTATATGATAAATACGTCTTTTTTCAATCCAATGATTATTCACAGCACGTTATTATAAAAAATTGTAATTCCACAACAATGGCGGAATAAAGATAAATTAATTCCCACTTTGAAAGTACCACACATCGTTCAATTTTCGACTTTCTTCAGCCATTAAAAACCTGAGTTTTATTGAAATATCAACGAGAAATGTGTTAACCCAACCAATTCAATCAAAATCTTTCAACAATTGCGCCAACCTTCCACATATCCTCACTCCTACGTTCAAAAACCCCATTGCCCCATCGTTCCTTAACCCTTTACCTGGCACGTGTCGAATGTCCCATCGACATCAAGTGCCAGCGATCGATCGACATGAACAATAAAATTGCTGAGAGCAAGCCCCAAAGTGTGCATTTCCTTTTACCATTATTTTTCTCCCGCCATTTTACACCGCTCAACACAAATGTTAAAGAATCGTTTGATCTTACCTAACGACTCCCTCCAAATCCAGAAGACAAAAGACGATCACGCGCCAATCGGCGCGACACTATCACTCTCTCCATTTACAACATTAATATGATGA